CGTCCAGACTACTGCGCTGAGCCGACAAACAGCTGATCGGCTCAGCGCGGCAGCCATGTAAATGTAAATGAAGCGGCGATTGTTTAAATCGCCGCTTCATTTTCCTATGCCTAGTAGTCTAATCTACATGCCTCTGTCGCCAGAGGCATGTAGTCTAGACGTACCCATAGATGTGAGGAAAGAGCCTCATTAGTAGGGAAGGCAACTCTGAAGGAGGCAGAGGAATGTAGACTGTCCACCTGCTTGTAGTACAACATAGACACATCATGTCCTCCATGCCAAGTCCTGGATCATCTTAAAGTCATCTGCTATAGATGGTGGAGAGGGCATTACCATCTCATCTACTGACCATGATGAGAAGTGAGTAGGAGCTTTCACTTCTGGTTCCTCCCTTCTTCCTCAAGGAATTCAGAGGCCTTTAAGGCAGCATCTGAAGGACGGTACTTCCTCAACTGTCAGCATGTTATACTAGTGGTAATGGAGCCTTGTTGTCCTTTGGGCCAGCAAAGGGTCCCAGTACCACCCATAGTGCCTGCACCACTTTGCATTCTGGGTTATGCTCCTGGTGCACGCTGGGACCAAAACTACAGTGGGTGGTTATGGGTTCATGGCATCAGTGTCCCATAATGCACTCTTCTACTCCCTCCTCCTTGATTGAAATCAATGAGAAAGTCTTTTCGTGCCCTTTTTGGCCCTAGTTGCCCATGTAGACACCATATCAGTGGGAGCATAGATCTACATCAAAACATTGTGATGGTGATGTCTATCTTGATGCACCTAATGGCATAGTTAGCATGGCATTCCAAGAAGAGGATGAAGAATCTCAGGGTCCCACACACATGCTGTGCAGGCAAGTCCTTGCATTGAGTGAAATGGAACCTCAGTTAGCATTCAAATCCTACTGACATAGTGGAATGCCGGTTCTGGTGCTGTGAAACAGGCACAGACTGGTGGAACCACGATGTGATGCAGATATGGGATGATCAGTAGTAGTTGCAAAATTTCCGAATGAACAAGGCCAGTTTTCATCAAACTTTGTGAATAGCTTTCCCCTGTCCTGAAGTGCAAGAATACCGAAAAGAGACCTGCTCTGTCTGACCATGGAGAAGCTACCAGTTAGCTGGGTATCAGTTTGGAGTAGGGAAATCTACAGTGGGTGCTATTGTTATGCAAATAGTCAAGGCAATCAATACCATTCTTCTCCGAAGGGTTGTGACTCTGGGAAACATGGAAACCATAGTGGATAGCTTTGTCAAGGTGGGGCAATAGATGGAACTTTCATCCTCTTCTTGGCCCCCAATCACCTTGCCATGGAATACATTAAACCGGAGTACTTCTTAATAGTGCTGCAGGCACTGGTGGATCACAAGGGCCATTTCACCAACACCAATGTGGGATGGTCGAGAAAGGTGAATGATAGGTGAATCTTTAGTAAGAAAGATCCTGAGGAAGCAATGGATGGATTGCCTTAGAGATGGTCTGCAGGTAGATCTTAATTTCACTTTACAAAGACAAAGATGATGGATGCTTGTACAACATGGCAGGATATAGAGTGGTGAGAAGATGATCACATCTGTTAGCTGAATTCTAATCTTGGAATAGGTAAAATGGATTTTTAATGGAAGAAATACATAATTTAAAGTAATATTTCATTTTTTCCTCCTTTCAATTCCAAGAACTTATTTTGTACATTCATTAACTTGTCTGAAATCACTTTGTTTTGTATTTGTAAGGATTTCACTATGGACTGTGGTATCTGTTATGCTTATCGACTTGATGGTGCTCTTCCAGACCAAGTGTGTAGCGATTCCCGATGTGGGCAACCTTTCCACCAGGCTTGCTTGTTTGAGGTAAAATTTTTATTTATGACAAATCCACTTGGCTCTAATTCATGGATCCCAGATAACGGGCGACTGTATTTGTGTGACAATATTATGGACACAATAGAAATAAGCAGCTAGTTAGGTGTCTGGTAAAGCAGAACCACTAAGACTTCTTAATTACATGACCTTATTGCTACTTCCCTCGTGTTCTCTCCCATGACTCACTTATGTCTTAAATAATGTCTTAAGGAATGCAAGGAACCTGCTTTATTGTGTGTGTACAAGGTCTAAATCAGTGAGTCTCCATCCAGATGGGCTTCTAGGTGCTACAAAACTAGAGTTATTTAATAATACTGCTCTGAAAATCTCAGAAGGAAGTGTGGAGGAAGTCAGAGAGGATCACTTTAGAGTACTTTCAGTATGTAAAGCCAGTTAATCTTTATAGGTAGATTATACAGAAAACAAATCCAGCTAAATTGCATGCTCCAATGCAGTATGAAACCACTACAAATCAGAGATTTATCAGATACTATGAAGAGCACTGTTTATTAACTTCAGACAGGTCATTGCTAAAATGGGCATAAAATTCATTCTCTTATCTTGCAGTGGTTACAAGGTCTTCCTTCTAGCAGACAGAGTTTTAATGTCATCTTTGGTGAATGTCCATATTGTAACAAGGTAAGGAAATATTTTGAAAGTCTAATGGAAATGTATAATTGAATAAAGTACATACAGTACTGGAGCTTAGGAAAAGTAGAAAAAATAAGACCAGCAGATAGTAAATGTTAATTTGATTAAAATCTTGTGAGTTTTATATTTTATTACACTGTAAAAATTAAAGGAAGGTGTTACTAAAAGATGTAACAATGTCTAGATATTAAACCTGTATCAGAATCCTTTATTATGAAAGATACAGGGTATTTAATTTTCCTACAATTTTTAATATTATTCTATGAAAGGACTGGTTTTGGAAAGCATGTGTAATTCTTAAAGTAAAAACAACCAAATAAAAATAGTTTAACCCACATGTAGCTTTGTACACTCCAGATGTTGATGTTTTTATTGAACATCTTTTTAAAGCCAATCTCAGTGAAAATGTCTATGAAGAAACTTTGAAAAAAAACCGTATACAACTCTGACCGAATGACACTTCACGTAAACTTGAAGACATTTTAAATGGTGACATCAAAGAAAACACAATGCAAGGAATATTAATATCAGAAGTACAAGTATGGCCATACTGTATCGATACCTCTCTTCAGTAAATGCAAGCTTTAAAGTTCTGGACACAGAAAAACTACTAAAATCTCTACTACGTTCTTGCAAAGATAGCGGAGAATATGTAAGCCTGTTTTGTTGTTGTTCCTTGTTATCTTCCCAGTAATCGGTTTGGGGACAGTGCCTGTGTAGTTGTCTTACGGGGTTTTCCTGCAAGGGGGAAAAATATACAAATGTTTCCAGTGTTAAACTGAGCGGAAATCTGAATCAGAATAACAAAGATTAAAATATTCTGTTGCACTAAATACCAAAGAACTACAATGAAAGAACAAATTCTGACAAGCTTTCAGCAAGCTTTCCGAGTAATATGCTGAGCTACTAGGAGTAGAGATTTAATGCCTCTAGGTTTTTCTGAACATTCTGTCAGGCAGCTAGCATTCAAAACTTGATTAAACATACAAATGCAGCAGTGGTCCTATCTACAAATTAATGTGTGTTTGGTTTTATAATGTAGGCTAAAGTCTTATGGGAAAAAATCATGTTTAATAGCAACATCTAAAATGTTCTAATACCTTTATCGTTGTCGTCAACATTGAAAATACATAAACATTTACAATGTTATTGCTAATAAACTACTATATACGCATTTTAAAATTGATTGTCAAATTTGTTGTTTATTTAGATTTCATTTCAAGTCTCCATAATACAGGCAGTCCCCGGGTTACGTACAAGATAGGGACTGTAGGTTTGTACTTAAGTTGAATTTGTACTTAAGTCGGAACTGGCGTCCAGATTCAGCTGCTGCTGAAACTGACCAGCGGCTGACTACAGGAAGCCCAAGGCAAAGTTTCTCTGCCCCGCGGCTTCCTGGAATCAGCCGCTGATCAGTTTCAACAGCAGCTGAATCTGGACGCCTGGGGCAGAGCAGCTGGAGTGCTGCTGGGCTGGTCCAGTGGCGCCGCACCTCGGCGCTGTGGGACCAACCCGGCGTGGTGGGGGGGGGGGGGGGGAGCACACTAGCTGCGCCCCCCAGCAGACCATGGAGACATGGGCGGCGGGACCGAGACGCGCTGCGGTGCCGCCGCCCGGGTCCTCCGCAGCTTTGCTCTGCATCTCCATGGTCTGCTGGGGGGGCCCCAGCAGACCAAGGAGATGCAGAGCAAAGCCGCAGAGGACGCGGGCGGCGGGACCATCCAGATGCCCAGAAGACCAGGGAGAGGCAGAGCAGCTTTTCTCACCCCGGAGGATGCGGGCAGCGGGACCGCGGCGCGTCCTCCGGGGCGAGAAAAGCCCCGTTCGTAAGTACGGATCCGACGTAAGTACGGATCCGCATAACTCAGGGATTCCTCATAGATGTAGATGGTTTTTAATTTCCAGAAGAATCAACTTTATGGCTCTTTTGTCCTGCTTTGATCTTCACCTCTGAACTGATTCCTGCACCCACAATCCCTAACACAAAGCTTTTTCTTCAAAGCATAATTATGTTGCTTGTATTTTAGTCCTGTGCTTTCTTTTGACAATCACCTCCTTCCTTTAATGTTGTTACCTTCCCATGTCACCTTCCTTCTACAAATTCCCATCTTTAAATATTTCCTGTTCTTACTTCCATATGCCATCCCACTCTCATCTACATTAGTTTCTTTTGCTAAATCCATCCCACACGTCCTCTATCCTGGCATTGTAGTCCTTTGGATGAAAAATTTATAGCAGAGAAAATCAACATGGACCCTGAATTATCTGCCATTTTCCTTCCGAGTCTCCTTCCTAATTAGATATTCAAGTCCATCCATCTCAACCCATTTTTCACTACCAAAATATTAAAACTATCTCATGAAGTCTTCTTTTCCATGGTCTGCAATACAGATGGCATTCTACTTTGATGTTGTCAGCTGCCTTCATTCCTACTCTTTTGGTTTCCTTTCCCTGCTTGTATTTTTTCCTCTGCCTTCATACTTACCACTCTTTATTCTAAAAGCCCTTCTGCCCCTCTAGTTATCACCATTTTACTTCCAAGATCTTCAGCAAGCTTTGAACTTTTGGTTTTCTTAACAGCTCACTCTCCTCCCTCTACTACCTTCTCCTCCAACTGTTGTACTTCCCTCCACTCTTGAACTACATGGTTGTGTTTTTGTTTCCCTTTTCTTTCTTCTTTTCAGGTTGTATCTGTATTCATGGCTACCAAATTACACATACCACTCCTGTTATACTATTTCCATCCCTGATCAGTGTTAAGAATTCTGGTATTTTCCTATTTATTGCCCCCAAAAAACTAAATTGCAGAAACAGACCACCTTATCTATTCCACATGCCAGCCCTGGGGTTACAATGTCATAAATAACTCCACTTCTCACAATTAAGCTGCTGCTGAATTCTGTAACAAGTCAGTGTTTCCCAATATATGTGTGTCTCTCTCCATAACTCCTGCTACATACAACTCTTCACCTGTCTTAAATAAGTTTGATGGCTAGACTCCTGCAAACTCCTTTGTTCTGTCAAACTTGGCTTCCCATCTTCCACTCTGTTCAAAATACCACCAACAAACTCTTCTTCCTTTCCTGCTGTTGTTATAATCATGTTGTACTGGGTCCTCTCTGACACTTCATCATGTTAAGCCTCCTCATCTTCATAGCTGTGAGTGGACTATAATAAGTATATATAAAATCTTACTTTCCCAGCCATCTTTGACTTGAACCTGCAGCCTTTTTTTAACCTATGCCTGATATATCCTTCCTAATACCTATCACAGCCTCTCTCAAATGCACCAAAAAGCACTTCTTTAATCCCAATATAACTCTCCATCAATTTTCCAAATCAGTTATATAAAAGGAATTAGTAGGAAGCATACCATCCAACACAATATTCCCATGGCCTTATTTTGTGTATTCCTTCTCCAACTTCCCTCCCCTTAATTCTTCAATTTGAATTTTTTAACACGCTGACATCCATATTCAACTTGATTCTCTTGTTACTGATGATGTGCTATGAATACCAAGGAACAGCTATAGAGGAAAAACCAGACTAAGAGTCATATTCCCCAATTACTTTTTCCTCCTATAGAAGAATGACTCAAAAATACTAATGGCAATCAAATATTATACAAAAGGCTGGTTGAGTCCATTCTTGTGCTTGTCACCTGATCCTCCTTAAGAGGTGGTTTTACTGCTCGTTCTCTCCTTCTGTCACCCCGGTGCACACATTCACAACTCCTCCCCTCCAACTATACAAAAATGTGCCCTTGCTTTCCAGCTAAGTGCAGCTTCTGGTATCTCCACAAGGAAAGGGAGAAGGGGGGGAGAGGAGAACATACATCCCCATATCTCTTTGCAGTACCATGATTTATAATGAAGATGGCACCATGGTACTGGCTGTTTGTGCTAATACATGTGATCAATGGCAGGGACCAGTCTCTATTATTCACAACAGAATGACTGACTACCTGACTGGAGAACCAAAAGCCGCTGTTTCCAATAAGAATCAGGTGCACAGGGGTCTAAGATCTGTGGGCAAGGAGGGATTTGCAGTGAAGCAGTTTGGGGATGGTCCAATTAGATATTTATATTCTAGCATCCAAAACAGAATTTCTTCATAAAAATAACATCTTAATTACTGTTTCCAACTCCTCCTCTGTATTCGCTCTTTATCAGGGAAGGTGATTAAAAAAATTCAGGAGTGTTTTTCAAGACTCAGGGAGGCTTTTTTAGTTTATCCTCCTTCCTATTAACTGTGGCCATTTATCAGAACTGTTCTGCTCACCACTTGCCTGACTGAAGCAGCCATGGGGCAATGTTGCTGTTTCCTCTTCAGTTTGCTGCCTTGTACTGGAGTCTCTATGCAGTAACCAGAAGACTGTTTGAAGCAAAGATTTTATACTTTTTTAAAAACTGCTTGTAAAGTTTCAAACTGGTGCTTCAGAAATGAGTTTGATTTTCTTATCTAGTAAGAAGGGCACAAACTGAATAAATAGTAATTGTTAAATTAACTTGAAACAAACGGGGAGGAGGGCGAGAAAAGTTTCTCTTACTAAAATTCATTCTTTTCTGAACTATTTCTACTCAAATTGCAAGGAAGCCTTTACAGAATGATTCTTTTCACTCTAGAAGTGTAAAGCTAACCAGTACCGATCCACTTTGGGGGACAGATTATTCAAATTGAAGCTAATGAGGACATTCAAACCTTAATATAATAGAGTAGCCAATGCTATTGAGCTTTGATCAGATAAATTCTGACATTGCCTGAAACCAAGATTTTTTTTATTATTATTATTATTATGGGTTAATATTAAATGTAGCTATTGAAGACTGAGCTATTACCAAAGAGTGCTATTAGAGCAGTTTCCCCACTGTAAATTAGAGGAGAAAATTACTACTGTCTTGCAAATGTTTATTTTAATGACAAACACTACACAAGAATGTTATCATAGTATCATTCCTACTACCTGTGACTAGAGAAGAAATGTTCAGCACTAGAAATACAGCACTATTTTTGCACATAATGCACAATGACGACAGATTATACCAAATTCTGGTGTTACTATGATTAAAATCTACCCTGCTATTTTCACAAATTTGTTGTGCCAATCTTTCATTGGAGAAAAACATGGGACTGCTCTTTCCCCATATACCATATTTACTAGAAAATCAAAACTCTCACCAGCAGTGGCTCATTATGCTGAAACTTCTTGTTTAATCCAATCGATTTCTCTTGGTTTTGTCTGTGTATTACCTGAATACCAGCTCTTTTCAGACAGTTATGTTGTTTATCATCTAGCTTGCTTTCATTTTGTTTATACTGTTTTGGTGAAATCTTTGGTAAATCAGCCTGTTAACATACAGTTAATAACATGATATGGTGAAAACATTCAACAATTCAAAATGAAAAATGCTTAAATATAGTACAAAGAATACAAAGGCGAACTTCAAAACCAGTCAGAAGATACTAAAAGTATGTAGAAAATAGTTGTCAAACCTTTCCCATCATCAGGACAAGACTAGTGCTTTTACTTACTAAAAGGAATTTTAACGGAAAAGTATATTTTAGAAATGTCTGTCTGTCCATCCGTCTGTGAGTCTGTCTGTTCAAGAACTCCTCCCTCAGTGGTAAGAGCTAGGACCACCAAATTTGGTATGCTAATTCCTTTTATAATAACTTAAACCAAGGTAAGAATTTGGTTGTGCCAAGACAATCAGATGTATCTGGATTTCGACTGTTTCTCATAAAATAGAAAGGGAGGGATCTGCTAGAGGGAGTTATTACTGGAGAATAACCAAAAGTGGGCAGCAAGGGGCTAGAGATGGGGATGGGGACAGCTGTAACCCCCTTGTGCCAGCAGAGATGGACAAAGGGACAGGTATCTACCATATTTTTTAGAGAGTTTGTGTGTCTGTCCCCCAACTGGAGACATGAACACACACCCTGGCTGTCCACACTGCAGTGGCCATGAACAACACTGTACATAGTGCTTCTCACCTGGCCTCAAGCTGTTGTTGGGACAAAAA